TATATATAGAATATATTGCTGATCAAGCCGAAAAGTGGTCCGGAAGAACAATGAGGCTTTGAGGTTTTTCAGCAGGTTTCTGGAAAACCTTAAACCAATGTCCAGCTGGAATTCACCTTTTTCGTCTTCGACTATAATTTATGAGCTGTTCTAAGCGTTTCCTGAAATTTTCTTGGGTCAGCATGAGGTTTGAGTGAGATATAAGGATGATAACAGGTGATAAACTAGTTGTTTACAAAGATGCCCCTGACGAAGTTATTTTCATTTCTACATAAAAACAAATATTGCCATTATGCTCAGCATAGTCGATTACCTATATTTTATGGCCCTTCGAGATTCCCAGAGATGTTTACTCGGAGATAGACGCGTGCTCGGGGAAAGCGAGTCCTGTCCGAACGACGATAGCTAGAGAGGTGGGACTTGTATAATCTTTTAGAGTAACGGCCGGACCACCTACGCAAGCAAAAAAAATTACTAACATTATATGTTAGTTTTCTGAGAACGGGACTGGTTTTCCAAAGATCCGTTGGAAAATCGGAGTTCCAGAAAATTTGGGAACACGTTTCTGCTTACAAAAGCATGTCTTAAGACCTTGGCTATTTAATAGTGGAAATCGCAGATCACTATCTCATCTTTGTAAACAGTTATTAGCAAAACTCTCACAATCATCGTGTTTTGCAACGGATGGTAGATACATGGCTTAGTCAGACTGAAGATTGGACGGGACGGGACTGTAACTGAAGATGTAGAAGATTCTGACTAATTTTTTCACAGTTGTGACTGGTTTTTTAAGTTAAAATTTGAAAAAACGCGAAAAGAGAAAAGAAATTGAAGTCAGTCTTCTATCTGTCTCATATTTGACTCCAAACTGGAAAAGCTCTTAGCTATTAAGATGTAAAGAAACACTCATTCGGCAAAAATACCAAAAAGAGGCATGTAATTACGTAAACGAATCGAAAAAAGGAAGACACAGACTGATTCTGGACACAGACCAGTTTTCGAACTGGGACTGGACTTGGACTGAAAACTTTTAACTGCTGGGCAGACTGAGGCTGGTTTGAACGTAGCCTCCAGCGGACTGAGACTGGAGTAGAGCATTATTACACACAAAAACATTGAAAGTTTGGACTTCAAACCGCAGTTTTACTTTTTATTGGTTATTGTTTTATGAAACCCTCTGAGATAGCGGAAAAACACTTTTTTCGAGAAGCTACATAGATCTGCAGAGCGAAAAATTCTCTATCGAATGAAACAGGAACAAAATTTTTACACTATAATCAAACGTCTCAAAAAACGAAGCAAAAATGCCCCGATTATTCTCGCCCACCAGTTCCAGTTGTTATGTTGCATCTTTGAACAAAACTGTGATATGTGACTTTCAATATTATTACAGGTATCGACACTATCATCATCCAATGAAACATGGAATATTTTCGATAATCCCACAACAACAACTGATAGTATTCCAATAACGGCGGCAGATAATGATGAAAATGCTCTTATCGATGATGCAAATATGGATGATTTTTTCAATGAACAAATTGCAAAATTACATATCCCATTTTCATTAACTGAAACAAGCAATATGCAACCTACCACATCTATCAATTCAACAGTCACAGCTCTTTTTTCTAGTGGAGTACAGTCAACAAGGGATCAATTACCATTGGAGCAAGTTCGAGAAATACAACATCGACAAAAACCACAACCATGGAAGAAAACCGATAGGGAACAAAAACTGGAACAACAACTCATAGAACTTCAGAATCGAGAAGCAAGAGTTGAAGAAAAACAAAAACAATTAACACAACAACAAGCCGAAAATCAACAACAACTAATGAATGCCCAAATTACTCAAGCAAAAGTTCAGGAACAAATTCAGGCAAGTGTAGTAGAAAACAATAATCGACAATTACAGGAACAATTTAAAGAACTGAAGCATCAACAAGCAACAGCAGTTCAAAAACGACAACAGCTTTTCCAGCAAGAAGCAGAACTGCAACAGCAGCGAACCCAAGACAAAATAGAACAACTAAAGCTTCAACAACAATTACAAGATTCAACAGAACAGACAAAAGAAAAAGAACGACACTTAGAAGAATTACATGAAAAATTTGAACAATTACAAGCTATAGCTGACCAAAAAGAGCAACTGCTAGTACAACTGCAAGCGGAAAAAAATGAATTAAACAAAAAACAAGTCGGTGAAGCGAACCAAGCTGAACTAATAGATTCAAATGGAAAAGATAGTAAATTACGTGAAGTTTTGGAAAAATTGAAACAAGAAAAAGAACAACTAGCACGATTAGAAGTTGAAAAAAACGCTCTCAAAAAGCAAGTTGATATGGAACAAGTTCAACTTCAAGAGCAAATTCAAGAATCAGCAGAAAAAACAAAAGAAAATAATCAGCAATTGAATGAATTACTGGGACAGTTGAACCAAGAACAAGTCAAAGTGCAACAAAAAGAAAAACAAATTGCACAATTACAAGGTAATGCTAAAAAAGATATAGATCAAATAGAATTACAACAAAAACAAGCACAAGAACAAATTCAACAACAATTGAATGATTCTGAAGAGAAAATGAATGAAAAAGATCGACAACTAAAAGAATTACTAGAACAATTTAAACAACAAAAAGCAAAAGCTGATGAAAAAGAAGAACAACTTTTACAACTACAAGAAAAAAACAAGAAGCAAAAAACTGAAATGGAATCTGAACGAGATAAAACTCAAAAAAATATTCAGGATGAAATAGAAAATACTAAAGATCCAAATCAGTTAGAAGAATTATTTAGAAAATTAGAACATTTAGAACAGCAATTGAAACAAGCTGAAAAAGCAGAAAAAGAACTAAGAAAACAATTAGCTGAAAATGAAGCACAAAAAGAGAGAATGGAAATGGAACAGCGTAAAGTACAAGAAGAATTAAAAAATCAGCTACAATCTGCAAATGAAAAAACAAAAGATAAGGAACAACAGTTACAAAAATTATTTGAGAACATTGAACAATTGAAACAGCAACAAAGAGAAGCTGAACAAAGGGAACAGTATTTGACTCAATTACGAGCACAAAATAAAAAATTAACAGATCAAATGGAACACCAACAACAAGAAATCAAAGAACAATTAGAAAAATTAAAACAACAAACCACTGACAAACAAAAACAAATGGAACTATTGCAAGAAAAACTTGAACATTTGCAAGACGAACAACGAAAAGCAGAAGAAAAAGCAGGAGATTTAGCCCAATTATTACAAACAATCAAAACCACTAATTATCACAATTTACCATTCGAGTTAGTTAACGAATATTTAGTAAATCGAATTCACTCCATAGAAAAACGTTTGGAAAATGTTAAACAACTACCAATCCTCGATGAAGATGAAAAGGATTATTTGGAACATAAAATACCACACTTAATTATTGAAACAAATGAAACTAATTATAAAATGATTCTAGCTGGGTTTCAAGTTCATCATGACGAATTTAACTTATTTCTTGAACAAATTGTTACCCTTTACAATGTAGTCCAAAAAGCCATCAGTTATTATGATCAACATTTAAAACAAATTTTAAAAAGAATAACATTACTGGTAAAAAAAGTTAAATCTAATCCACCACAATACTGGAAACAATACTCAGAAACATTTCTTGATTTATTACAAAATAAAGCAAAAGAATATTCAAAATTATTTGATGAATTTATAACAAAAAAGTCAAAAACGATCTATGCTGATAAATGTGTTGAAGATTCAAAGCAGCAGTTCAAACCATGGCTTGACTTGAGACGAGAAACAGAAGACTATATGAAGAAAAATCCGTTTGATGATGAAATTGAGAAAATAAAACAGCAAGCTTTAGATGAATTTATTAAACAAACTATTTATCAACAACAGCTTAAAACAGAAAAAAAACCAACCGACAAGTCAAAAGCCGTATTACGTCAATTTATTGATGGTGTTAAAACAACATTAAAAAACGATAAACAATATGTTGGTCAAGAATTAAAACATTTTCAAATGTTACCTGAACTGTTAAGACGAATTATTATTTATTATAAATGTTTTCTCGTTCAATTACCATTGTATGAATCAGCTGAAGAGTTATTAAAAAAAATTGAACATAACACTGTTATTACCATTTCAACATCAACCGGATCAGGTTAGTAAAATTTTATTCGCTTTTACAAACTGAAACGCTGTTCACTACTGCACCATCGGCTGAGATTCTGTTCATTTTCGAAGGCATAACTCTAGTTTCATATAAATCTCAGTAAATCAAAAGCAAAAGTTCTTTTCTTTCTGCGCTAGTTTTACAAACGAGCAAACAATAGCGTCAGTTCTATAGAATCATAAATTGTTAAAGAAACGTCTGAAATCTATTACCGCCTTTCAAAACAATATGGAGTCGCGTTGGAAGCTCTTATAATCTCTGAAATCCGTAAAAGTCATTAGAATCTTTACAATGCCACACAATTATGTAGGAGTTCCGAGACGGCTATAAATTCCGATTCGATGTCATAAAATCTTTCAGAACCCCATAGGGTCAAAAATGACCGGAACGAATTTTCTGAAAAAACTGTCCTGAATAACTCTTGTTCCCGTAGAATTTTAGTTTTTAAATCGATTATTTTCAGTGAAAATCTACAGAAATTTCAAGGATGGCAAAGTACATTTGATTTTTCAAGCATTCTACAGGATTTTCAGGAGTTTGAGGGATTTTCTAAAGATTTCAAAGTGATCTGTAACGTGTGTTACAGAAAGAATGGTATAGTATTTATTTTCAGTTTTTCTCCTCTCCCTTTGAACTCACAGAGCTCATCTTAGCACTAAAAGGTTCTCCATTTATTTCTGTACAAACTAGTGTATAGAAGATGATCATAAAGTTTGAGACGCTCTCTTAATTGGATAAACATCGAAATGTCCGAAAAGCTTAAAAAGTTTAACACAAAAAAGTGTATTTCGTCAGTATGACGTTGAACGTATGCGTTGTGCCTAGAGCAAGTAGGCTAAAATGTAGCCCTTAAAATTCTCTACCAACTAGCTATAATGTGGATTTTATATTGTTGTTTCTGTGTTTTCAATAATGATTTCTGCAAAAGCTCTATGATCGGCTTTCTAGCTTTTTGAACCTGCATTTTGGGATTATTTATAACAAGAATATTGCTCAGACAATACTGAACCGATCAGGCTCATTCTTTCATCATTTTGAAGACAAATGTTTGGTCTACACGACTCACGTGCGAAACGTTTGATGTAACTTTTCTGAATAATGGAGATATTGAAAATAGCGCTACAGCCTCGCAGAATGCGTGTGAATCTAGCGACTATTCGTGTGTCCACTACAGACACTGCACACCGCAAAATGCCCGAGACCAGCAGAATCCATTCAACAGAGATCCCTAATACCTGTGTATTCAAAAATCTCTGATTGAGAAAATGATTTCGTTTGTTTCAGGTAAATCAACCTTATTACCTCCTCTGTTAATTGCTGAAGCTTATGATAAAGTAATGGTTACTCAACCCCGACGTTTACCATGTAATATGATTTCCGAACGTGTTAATTCAACAATTTATTCTGATTTAAGTGGTTGGGCAATAAGTGGTGCTGAATCAAATGTTAAAGCTAAAATTGTTTTTCTGACCGATGGTTTACTTAGAGAACGTTTACTTAACAACACAAATTTTATAACAGAAGAAACAAAATTAAATAAATCTGTTGTGTTTTTTATTGATGAAGTACATGAACGTTCAGTCAATATTGATTTATGTTTGGGTTTATTAGCACGTCTGCTTACTGAAAAACCCCAATTAAAATCAAAAATGAAAGTCATTATATCATCAGCCACCTTAGATAATTCTGTTCCCACTCTTTATCGTCATATACCACAATTAAATTTTGATGAATTTAAATTACCTTCATTGGGTACACTCTATAATGTTACGAAACATCAACGACAAGATGCTAATATTCTTGACTTGGTTCAAGAACTCTATCGCAAACGTCAACGTGACGATCAAATTTTATGTTTTGTTAATTCAACATCAGACGTACATCAAAGTTGTGAACTCTTAGCTTATGTCAGTCATGGTGCTATTGTTGCTTATCCTCTTGTACAATCACAATCATCAAAAGATCAACAAGATATGTTAAAAAATGGTAGTGTTTTCTTTTCAACAACGGTTGCTGAAACATCTTTGACATTTCCATCATTAAGATATGTTGTGGATACAGGAATGATAAATATACCTGTGTATGATTTGGAAACAAAAACAACTGTTTTGAAAGAAGTACGAGCAGCTGAATCGACAATTAAACAACGGCTAGGACGATTAGGTAGAACCAAACCTGGTGATTACTATGCATTGTATGATTACAAGGTTGAAGATAAAAGATATCCAACTCCACAAATATGTCAATCTGAACTAACAAATATTGATTTTTCTCTACGAAAATCAGCATTGAAAATGGGTTTAAATGGAATGAAACAATTTCTACCTGATGAACCATCACAACCAGCTATTGACTTAGCCCTGAATCAACAAAGAAAACTACGTAAGTTTTAACATATGAGCGCTTTTTTTGTGTGTCTTGCAATGAAAGGGTATCAGAAATAAAGTCAAAATAGATAGCTAAGCAATTGATACAACAAAAACAGTTCTTTCTGCCGCTTGACTTTGAAATGGTCTTGACTACAGAAGAATATGCTTCAACATCTAAAAGGTTTTCTAAGGATTTGATTTTCTAGAGGGTATCAAGGTATTCAGAATGAGTTTGAAAGTGTTCTGAAACTAAGCATTTACACTAATATCAAACATCATAAAAATTCATTGTTCTTCTCATTTCTGAAAAAATCAGAAGAACTCTTTTAAAAGCTCGTCATTTCCTTGAATCTAATGCTGGTATGTACGAAACGAATCCACTCATATCCGTTGTTTTCTTGTTTTCTGTTTAAATAGAAATTTTAACAGCAGCTCCAAATGAACAATTCACTACTCAAGGCGTTGCGTTAGCCAAATTACCTGACTTTGGTTCATTACCCATGTCCATATCAGTTTTATCGGGTCTAACAAGTTATCAATGTGGCCGAGATTTAATTTGTTTGTCATCCATGTTAAGTGTCTTAAATACATCGGCTATTATTAAAGCTATACCCAATCAATATAAACGACCAGAAGGTGATTTTATGACTCTGTTACAAGTTATGGATGAAATTTTATTAGTTAAACAGTCTGTACCAGCACAACAATTTGATTTAAATCAAGTATGTCAAGCTAAGGGTTTAACAGCCATCCAACATGTTTTAAATCAAGCTTTACGTCGCTATACAAATTTAGAAAAATCATTTAATTTATCTAATGAATATTGTGAAGCATCACAAAAAAAATCTGGTAATTGGAAATTAATAGCAAAATCATTAATAAGTGGATACAGTGATCATATATTTGTATCTTTAAAAGAAATTCAAGGTCGTATACATCGTTTTGAACGTTGGAATTATAAACAAAAACCACGTATCGATATTGCGGTACTCGATTTACAGTCATCATTAATACGTTCGTTCACAACAGCACCTGTTGTTATTGTATTAGCACGTGATGTACGATATGCAACGTCTATACGTGCCAAGGCTGTTCTATCATTTTTAGGTGAAATTAAATCAGAATGGATTGAATATCAATTAGAACGTCAAGTACCTTTAACAAACAATGAAGTCGAAAAATTAAATAAAGAAAATATGCTTTTAAATGTCATGTCAACATTTGATAATATACAAATACATATTGGACAAGATGAACAACAACAACAACAGTTGATATTGCAAGGTTCATCGGGTTCTGTGTTGGATGTTGAATTAGATATACGACAACAATTAGTTACAGAAACAAAATTTAAATTAGAAAGTGATGATAATAATATAAATTTAAAACGTAATTTAGAAAGTTTAACAAAAATGACAAGAATATTTAATCCAATGAGATGGCGTTGGGAAGCAGAACAACAAGTTCAAATTACCATTAATAATGCAAATCATCAATTAGAAGTATGGTCTCGAGGTAGAGAAGCACAAAATAATGCAGTTTATAATGAATTTCAATCATTTTTAAGATGGTTAAAATATTGTACTGTTATTCGAAGTCCAAATTCAGGTGAGTATTTTCTTTTTTGACACGTCAAATGAACTAGTTGTACTTTTCTCATATACCGAAAGGATTCGATCTATAGAGAAGAATTGAAATTGGATGAATTTTCTCAACTTCCCACACGTGAATTGCGGCAAAATTACCTTTTTTTCTTTTCTTAAACCAATAGGTGTTTTACCACGTCTACTGAAACCAGCAATGCGTAAAAAATGTCCAGAAATGGAGGAAAAAATTTCGCATATCACTGATAGTAAACGTACAAAAATTGATTTATGGAATGGTTTGCAAGGTTCAAAGTGCTCGCGCGAAACACGGATGGAATGTGTTGCATGGATAGCCGTGTGTAAATTTGATTGTCGATTAGAAGGTGGTTTTATTCGAGATTGGGTTGTTGGTAATTATGTTGGTCGTCCATCCGACTCTTCATTACCACCATCAAAATGGATTGATTATCAAAAAGGTTTACCATTTATTAATAAAGAAGTGATACCGTCGGACTTAGATTTTCATCTACCAATTCATGTTTACTTTGATATTGAAAAATTTTTAGATGAATTACACCGATATCAAATTGATTTTAAAGTATTCCGAGAAGATTGGCGTTACGTTTTCCTGTTCGATGAAAATGCCAAAACGGGGCCATTTACCATGGATTTAATTGAGCCACATATAGCATTAACACATGATCTCATTGATTTTGATGTTAGTAATTTATCTTTAGAAAAAGATTATACAAAAGAATTAGGTATGAGAGTTGATATCACATTACCACCATATTCATTTGATTTGGAATCAACAGTTGATAATATCAAAAATAAACGTTTTCAAGTATTACGTCCAATTGATGAAGAAAATATGAAAGAACGTATAGCCAAAATGGAAACACGTGGATGGAAACAAACAGGTGAACCTGTTTTTGTTATACCAAATCCATCATCGAAATATAATTTTCTTATTGTTGCTCTACCAAAATCGATTCCATTATACAAAGCATTATCCCAAGATATGCAAAAAATTGGTTCTACAATAAAAATAATATCAATCGAACAAATTAAAAATCCACATTTAGAAGAAACATATGAATCAATGAAACAACTAATGGCAAAACAATGTGAAAATGAAAACCCAAATGAACGTGAATTATATCATGGTACAAGAGATGATGGAATTAATGGCATATTAGAATACGGCTATGATGATCGGTTTTATAATAGAGACGGAGCATGGGGTATGTTGTATAATTGATTCTTAATCTACTAAAAGACAGGACCCGTAACTAATTTTTAAATGTTTCAAAACCAAAAACTGATAGCATGCTGCTTCATCTTCCAACATTTTTTGTTATCAACCTTGGTCTATCATTCTGGTGAGGGATATGCGAAATCTTTTCCTCGATTTCTGAACAACTTTTACGTACTTCTGGTTCCAGTAGATGTGGTAAAACATCTATTTATTTTCTTTATCCCCAGAAAGTATTTTTTTGAAGATCCATGAAAGACGACTACTGAAGTGGAGCTCTTGAGTGCTCACTATGTCCATTCGATACTTAAAATAAAATGATTTTTGAAAAATTCCATTTCAAAATCCCATTGGTGAGATTGAACAGGAAACTTTTTCTCAAAAGTCAGTTTTGAGCGTTTTTGAGAAGTTCGCAGTATTTTGCGTTTTTCTCCGCGAAAACTCGCTTAAATCGAAAACATAAGGTCAGATTCGTAATCACCAGATAAAGCTGCATCTAATGATGTGTCTTTGAGCGAAAAATAAAAGAGCTAAAACTTTGAATTACTGACAGCTTACAAAACTATGAATCGAAAAAATCAGTACTTTTCATGTCACTCCCCCCTGATGTCCGCCCCCGTGGACATTTCATTACCACCAAGGCAACTTGAAAGAAAATTTATTTTCTTGTGTAATTATAGAATAGATCCTTATGATATATCCTTAAGATACATGCAGCTGTTGCTCAGTTTGACTTATCGTAGTCCTGTTGAGTGTAGTTACCGCGAAGGACTTCGGGCATAGGCTATCAACAATTGTGAGTCGCGGCATCAAATTGAGATCGTGCGTAACACATTTTTTTAATAAAATATGATTTTTGCTTTTCGTCTGAGTATTACTTTCGCTGAAAGCATGGATGTGGCGAAATTTTGCAGTTGATTTGGAAGATTTTTGTTCCTGTATTATAATGAAATGTCGACCGTGATAGATCAGTGTGTGCAAAAGCTGCATACTTAGAGAGTCATTCCTGAGCAAACACAGAGCGATAGGAGATACGTTAGATTAAGTTTTCTAAATGTGGTTCCAAGGTTTGTCTCATTAAGTCAATCTGCAAACATCGATATTTCCAAACACATTTACCTGCTTGGAAATATCAGATCTACCCATACGTGAAAATCCATCTGTTACGGAAAAGCTGACTACAAATGTTAAAAACTCACCATTCTGTTACTCACAATAACTTTTCTCAACCAATTATCCATCATTTTCTCCGTTATATTGACGTTGTAGGACATGGAAGTTATTTTGCTGATACTCCAATAAAATCTCATGAATATACAGCTAAATCATCTAAGGATCATACACGTACAATTTATTATAATAAAGTCTTACTTGGTAAACAATTTAAGATGGATGAAATTGATCAGCATCTAGCAGCAGCACCAAAAGATTATCATTCTATACATGGTACAGTATTTAAATTTGATGAATATGTTGTTTATAGATACGGACAAGCATTACCATACATAAAAATAACATATACATCAGATTAGATTTTATCCTAGAACTTCTACTTTCGTTTCAGTGCCGCTACTGTTGTTTATTGTAATAATGCCATTTTTTTTCTGTTTCTGCTTTTACCCTTTGGCTACGGGAGTATCATCCTAGTGAATGCATACAAGTACGTGTCCAAGTATCCTCGCAAGTTTTGTCCATTGTACTTGGCTTTTTTTTGCAAGTAAATCGAGTGCTTGCAAAGAAAATCAAGTACTTGAATCACTTGATCTGCTTGTCAAGCACTTGGATGTGTACTAGTTAAAGTAGCCCGCAAGTACCTGTGAGAAGTTTAGCAAGTAAATGACATACTTTGCAAGTGCTGTCGTTGTATAAGTTCTATAAGTATCTCAAGTACTTGGGAAGTATATGAAGTATATGTGTGTGTTAGTAGAATAATTTTTATTCTGTTGTTTTATTTTTATTTTAATACAGTGAGTGGGTTAAAAACAATTATGATGAATGTGGATAGGTGGAGAAAAAACAGACAGAGACCTATTAAAATTCAAAAAATTTTGCAAACCATATAGCCTGATAGAGCAAAGAACTCTGAGGAAAATAAGATACTCCCCGGTTGTGTAAAACGCTTTTTGAATGGAATAGTTTGATAATTTCCATCCCCTTTGCTGCCATTCGTAAATCGACTGCACTTGCGTGAAAAGCCTTATAGACAGCCTGGGAACGTCTTATTTTCCTCCGAATTCTTTGCTGGTTTGCAAAGTATTCTGATAGAAAATCAAAACACTTGGTTATCTAGCGGCCACGTTTTCCAGAAATCCTACTATCAAGTTTTCTCACAAAATGGCGATATGTACCTCATCTGATAGAAAAATCTTCGGGCCATTCAAAACAGTATTCAGATTGGTTTCAGGTTTTACTGAAAAATCAAAAACAAAGGAGTTCTTATGATTATGGCATACTGTACTGCATATATAACACCTAAACTCTTCTTCTGCATATCTTTAATGGTTAGCCCCACCAATCTAAATTTTCTAACCAGTCTGCCTTGTAGAGAATTTTACGGGCTATCCAATGACATCCTCTTAAAAAAATATAGTTTTTGATTAGGATAAAAAAGACTTCTAAAAGAGTATTCTGCAGCTGCTTTCAGTAGTTCAACGCTTCTTTTGGATGTCTGTGCACACTGACCCAACTAATCACGATATTCTGACTAGCTCAGTTTGTAGAGAATTTCAAGGGCTATCGAATAGTCTGTTGTAGAAAAGTGTATAGTTTTTCATTTTGGCAGAAAATATTGATGAAAAGTGCTCTACTAGTGTTTTCGGTAATCGGTCCTTTTGCATGTCTGTGATAACTGGCTTAACCAGCCAAGATATTCTGACTAGCACAACTTGTGGAGAATTTCAAGGGCTGTCGATTCGAGTGTTTTCTTAGTCTCTTTGAATGTAAGAAGAATGAGAGCAGTAGCGCTTATTCATCAGGTAAGGCTGTTCTTGAGGTTGCTGATGGGAATGGTATTGTCGAAAAATTAACGGGATTTTAGTGAATAAATGTATCCGATTTCATCTGAGATTGAATGCTGGTGCGTGTTTCGTTAATAGGAAGCCGCTTCTACTAGAAAACGAGAGTAGCCGATTTCTAACCTTGTACGTTCCCGTCCCTTGTCTATCTCTGCGAAAACTTGGCCGTTGTTCGGAACATTTCCCTGCATAGATAAGTCAACGTGCTCTACAATCTAGCGGTGCCAAAATTGTTCAACTGAAAGTTTATAGTGGGTCTTTTGGACACCCCGATTTCAGAAACCTACCCAAGAAAGACCTAACAGCCGAAACGGATATCAGATTCGTGATCAGAACTAAGATTATCCACATTCGCGTGTGTTTTATGAAAAAGCGATTGTACGCTTGAGAAGGTGCTATCGTTATATGAATTTTTAATGTATGCAACGTTACTTACTATTATCGACGCCAAAAGCAAGTTCCCTAGCTATTTTTGAATAACTTCTGATAGAAAAGCGATAGTAGAGTTCCTATGGTAATAGTTGATACGCTGCGCAATGGAAATAACACGAATGATTACACTTCTTATGCAGCCACGTTTACACGAATAAATTCAATATTGGAATGAACAGAACTTAATGTGGCATTCAAATATCATTTCATATAACATATAACGTAAAATAACACAACTATTATCGGGGGCAAAAAAGCAGCTTCTCTGGCTATCTTTTGAATAACTTCTAATAGAAAAGTGGCAGTGATTTGAGTTTTTAAGATTCTGAAAATCGGCACCTTCCTACAACTTGCGCTAAGTAAAAAATTTTGAAACTCTTGGAAAGATCCTATCTTCCCACAATCTTTCGAAAACAACGTTGTGGTTTCCAAAATTAAAATATCAACCTGTCGATTTTTTTCGATACATAAGTAGTCTGAAGTGTCTTCTTTAAATCTAGATCTAAGCAAACTCCGGATTTTTCTTAGTTTTCCAAGGAGGCTGAGTTTTCCTGAACAAGCGGTATCATTAGTTTTTGCGGTGTGAAGACCCCCGCCCCCCTCCCCCACAAATGAGTTATGTTTGCAAGTGATTGGTGCTTTTCAAAGAAAAAAAACAAGTACTTGTTCACGTACAGCAAACACATCTTCACTATTTGTTTACTTGCAAATTTCCACGTGTATCTCACAAGCACTTAGCAAGTAGTATGTTTGAAAAATACGTGGCAAGTACCCGCAGAAACTTGCCCGTAAGCAAGTAGCCATCCGCAAGTACGTTTACTGGGGAACATCGTAACCGATGTCATACACTTCTTTTAAATTAAATCACTTTTTTTTATTTCATCTTTGAATGATTTCTTTTTTATTTTAATTTTATTGATGAACATTTTCAAACAGAAACAAACTTTCTTATTAACCGAGATTCATTTTTCAAATATTCTTTTAAAATTTCTTGAAAGACACACCTTCAGATCTTGAGAAACAAATTCTTTTGTACTCCTATTTGTCTTTTGTTTTTAGATTTTTTTTTGATTAATTGACTTCAGACAGGCATAACTGTATATCAGATACATACATACATATTAGCAGCACTAATCACCGGCAGCAGCAAACTCATGACATCATTTGAAACATTAGTTGAAGAATGGGGTAAATGGACGTCAAAAGTAAGTGGTTGTGCTTTTGTCTGATCAAAGATAGTGTTTTTTAAAAGGCAAAACGAAGATATTTTTGTGTATGTGTAAACTACGCTCCCACCCACACTCACCCACTCACAAACTAACTTTTAATTACATGGTTTGATAGAGGATGCCGAGTTATCTTTACATCCACGCATATCTTTTCCAGTCTTAGCTTTGCTGGAGTACGGAGTAGCTGCGAGATATTTGTAAATTATACACCTACCAATACCCAGTAATCTTAAGTCACATGGTTGGATAGAAGATGGTGAGCTGTCTTCACACCTTCCCATATCGCATCCAGAAATTGCTACTAAAGAAACAAAAGGTTTGTTTTTTTGTATTATGATAGCATATAATTCTAAATTGTCTAGTTATCTTTAGCCCTTTCAATACGGGACTATTTTTTCGAAAAATAATGCCGCAAGTAGCGATATCCCTACAACTCAAGAACCATGATAGTTAGGGGCTTCTGATTTTATGTGATCATAGCTCTTACCGAAGGCTGGTCACCCACCAACTTTGGGACTCTTTTACTGGATGGTTTATGAGGTATAAGCGATTTATTTTTTTCCATAAAATATCAATAGCTCCTGACCTGAGAGAGATGAAAATTTTTTCTTTTTACAAAAAATGCAGCCACGACTGTACTCTATCGACGATATGAATTTCGTGAGTTGGCTGTTAGTAATCAGTGGAATACAGCTATTTTACGGGCGAGGTTGGCTTTTTTTTGTTAAAAATTCGAGGTTCTTTGAGAAAAAAATTCACAATTCTGTCTAGGCTCATCATTTTGACTTCAAATTCACACCAGAGACTTTACAGTGTCTGTAGACTATCCAACCAAAGTTTGAGGGTTAACTATTGTGTGGTTCTAGAAGCTCATTTAGGACGAGCACCCACGACGATTGAAATATACGTAGAAGATGTGAACTAAGGATCGCTCTTTGTACTATAGTATTTGCATTGAATGCAAGGTGCATCTAATTCAAAAGTCGAACAAATTGTTTTTTCGCTTCGTTTATATATGGTTCGATAGACCTCATCAAGCTCTACAAAACTGTATATATGAACTAAGATAGCAATCTATCAGCTTCTCTTCATAAATACATAGTCCAAAATGTCCTCTCCAAAATGGAAACTAAGCCAACTCTTAATTTTTCCTGATTTATTTATGGTATCAGATTTTCTGAGAATCCCACGATCAATAGTTCTTTAGGTGTGGTAATTCCGAAAATGAACAGAAATATAGGTAATCGACCATGCTAAAACTCGTGGCAACGTTTGTTTTTCAAAAAGGTTCCAATAATCTAGTGAAAACCTATAAAAGCATTAAACATCAACAGAAAACACATTAGGTTTTGAAAAGGTTTTCTAGAAGCCTGTTGAACTACAGGAATGTTGTCTACTACAACAAAACTTTTACTTGAGAATAGGATGCACTTATCCCTTGACTGGAAAGGAATTGCCAGTATCAAATTATTTTTGCAGAATAAAATAATTATCTTTCTTGTTCCCATTACATTCTGAAGAACATTCTCGAGAAGCCGCAGCAGGCTAGTACTACGACAGTTCTGACGACCATCGTTGTTCTTGCATTCTTCCAAGGCAAAGGATAAATGAGGCACATTCCCAATTCTTATTCCTAATCACTCTCGTATTATGTCCTTGAAAGCATAAATGCAGCTTGGCCTTGGAAGCATCACTAACCGATTCACCATGATAGACTATCTATATTCTGTAAGTTTTGTTCTCCCTAGATGACTCTTTGGTGTTATCAGACGTGGCTGATTTCTAGCGACATCCGCTTGCGAACTGCAGGAAAAGGTTTGCTTAGCTTTTCTTTCTCTCCATCAGTAGATATTTCGGCCATCTCTCTGAATATTTTCTCTCTCGCTTAAAAAAATTTTCTGTATTTCCTTTCTTGCGATTGGCTCATATATGGAGTATCTGACAGCTATTTTTCCATATTTTCCACACACATACCCACAACCACTTTGTAAGACCCTAGACTAAAGTCAATGGAATGGTAGAATACCCACTCATTTTCATCGAATGAAGTTCCAAAGATGTTTTCGACTAATATAATGGATCCTAAAGACCGCTCAAAATCATTTTCTGATTTTCGATTATAGTGTAAGATATCTTTTATCAAACCATACAACTTCAAGATTTTTATCTCTCATGGTTTCGGAGATAACGTCGTTTGTTAAGACCTACTCATCCATGCTCTGTTATGTCCACTGACCTTCAGAAACCTCTAAACATAAGTTATCGAGTATGCTGAACACATTAATAATGTTTACTTTTGAATGAGAGCCAATAGAACGAGAAAAGTGAAAGGACGGGGCTTATAAAGGTCAAAATTTTCCATTGATATCTCGGGACAAGAGCAACATACTCAGAATCAGCGTGAAATTCTGCGTTAAATGAGGTATATGGCACCTTGGAAAACCGTTTTCAATTTTTCGGAAAATTTGTAGCCTCTATCCCATCTTTGGAACATCGAAAAAAGGTTTTACTCAGAATTTTTCTTAAGATACTTTATTCGATGCAGAATTTGATGCTGATCATGAACATCAGGACAAAACTGGAAAATAGCTCAGTTTTGATCGAAAAAAATCGATTTTATTGACATATGGCGTCAGCGACCTCGTTCATTAAAAACAGCCTGCTTTTCCCTTGGATTTGGTATGAAAATCTTCAAAAGGTTTTTCCAACTAACTTTTTTCAGAAAACCTTACAAAATTCGGTTTTGACCTGAAAACACTAGTTTGAAGCGGATTTCTGTTCCGTATCGGAAAGCTGGGACATTTTTGAGTATATCTAGGTGGCTTTTGAGGTTTTCATACCAAATCCAAGGGGAAAACAAGCTGTTTTTAATGAACTAGGTAGCTGACGCCATTTGTCAATAAAATCGATTTTTTTCGATCAAAACTGAACTATTTTCTAGTTTTGTCCTGATGTTCATGATCAGCATCAAATTCTGCATCGAATAAAGTATCTTTAGAAAAATTCTGAGTAAAAGCGTTTTTCGATGTTCCAAAACAAATTTTCCGAAAAATTAAAAATGGTTTTCCAAAGTGTCATATACCTCATTCGACGCAGAATTTCACGCTGATTCTGAGTATGTTGCTCTTGTTCCGAGATATCAATGGAAAATTTTGACCTTTATAAGCCCCCACCCTTTGTACTCGAAACATTTATTTTCGCAAACTCGACTGAAAATTAAAACACCTCTATATCCATCATAATTTGTTCAAATAGGTTTAGATTTTCAAAACATTATGTGTTCGGATTGTGTTAGAGAACTTTTGACTGGAAAACTTAAACGACTAGTCTGAATGAAGCTAGTTTTGAGTACGTCTTTGAGAAACCAAGTCCAATTTAGAACAATATTTAATCGTCTAACTTCAGGTAGATTAAAAGATTTGAATACGTCTAGACACGTTTCGATGAACTGAGAGCGATTCTAATTTTAGAATAGTATTTTGATGAGAAATGACTTTTTAAGAAAAATCTTACTTATGTTTGTTCCATTACCTCCTGTTCAAAAACAAACATTTCTACAATATTTATCCTGCTAGGTAATCTATGTTTAGAGTATTGTTAAGGGCACTGGCGATAGCAAAGCATGGATAAATACCTCTGAGCAAAATTGCTCTATTGCCAAAAGCATAGTGAATAGCTATCTCGGACTTGGGTAATTAGATCGAGGACATACTAGACTATATACGACCTTTGTCAAATCTAGAGGTTACTGTGAAAGTCATGCTAATGATCACTGTCGCATTTTAATTCGTTAGGTATCCCGTCTGAAAAACCAGGTTTTTCAGTTTGGTCGAGCAGTAGAGTCGAGCAAATCTTTCTATAGAGAATAGTAAAATTCCCGCATCTCTAGCTCTCCTCGTTTCTCAAATATCCATCATAACAACTGAGAACACGTTGCTGTTTTCCGATAATGATATTTTTTCATTTGTCGTATGTCACGAGTGTTTTATACTATTAAAATATATTTGTTAACTAAAAAGAGATTTGCTGCTCCTTTTTCTACTACTATTGTTTTTCTTCTGTCTATGTGCTTAGAATGCAGATGGAGGCGGTTCACGTATAGATATCAATGGAGAAGATGCAGTTTTTAAAAAATTAGGCATTACAAGGATTTCATATGAAATAAGAGATTGCAAAGTTGAATCATATGAACCGCAACCGCCTAAAACTACTCAAACCATTATTGATAGTATAACAAACAACAGTGATGGTGAAGTAACTAAAACAAGTACAATTGAACGTGGTAGATCATATTCAACACAAACGTCTGTAACAAATGGATTTAAAGCAACTGCTACAGCTGGTTTAAAACTTGAAATAGCTAGTGCGGAAATATCAGTTGAAGTTAGTACATCACGAACAGAAACTGTAGGGGGTAGTAAAGAAGAAAAAACAACGGATAGTATAACGTTTAAAATTCCACCAAAATCAAAAGTTGTTAATTATCGTTGGTCAACAAATCAAATTGCACGGTTTACGGGTAAATTAAGAGTTTCAGGGCAAGTGGGAGTTTATTTTAACAATGCAATTTGCAATGCATTTGTAAGTATCGGTTTTAAAACGTTCTTGCTAAAACAAAAGAGGAACTCTTATTTACTAATAAGGTTTTTATTGTCAAAGCGGATCAGGAAATAGGGATAGAAATAGTCGGACCAAAGCTAAATCGGAAAGTTTCAGGTCGGGAAGGATTAGATAAAAACAAAATTTTCGGATGTTCGAGTCTGAAATATATAAACCCTATCATTTTTTAAAATTTTAATATACTTAATCGTGAAAATCTGCTTTTTTCTCAAAATCCTAGTTACCCTCAGCCGTCATAATTATCCTTTCAAAATTTAATTTAAAGAAAGAAGTAGTCTTTCGTTAAGAAATTTTAAAAATTTTCGATTTCGAGTCGATTGGAGGGGAGAAAAACATTTTGGATATTTGGGTCGAGTCAAAAAAATTTCGCATCAATTGGACTTTAGATCAAACTTTTTTGACCAGTTTCGGTTTCTGTCAGGGGATTTTATAATAAAATCATTTTTTTTTGCTATAATTTCATTTTTTTCTGAACACCAATATGATAATTGATAATAGCGTAAAATCGAACACATTGTGTTTTTCAAAAATTTCCAGAAAATTCATTTTTACTCCGCAGTATGTTGAGGGTGACAAAAATCAAAAATTGTCTGAGGGCACAGTTTCAATGCCAGAGTTGCAGAACAAGTTGAGTTATCAATAAAAATATAGTTTTTATCAAAAAATATTAGGACAGTGGGCAGAGTTTTCTCAAACACTCTCGTGGTCATACTTACAATCACAAAAACAAAGCATTTTTTTGTGTAAAAACGTTTCGTTTTCTATTTATTCTTCGTCGTCTCTAGGGTGATAGTTCTACAGACCATCATTATAAATGGTTTCCAAGTGCAGACCGCATTGTTAGATGGGCTTTTGATCAAGGGTATGCAGACTGGTTCATTGACGATGAAGGTTATGGTTATTTTGCAATAAATGGCAAATCTGAAGCCACTATACATGAATTTATTGTTGGAGAACCCGAACCACTTTAAGAGATGGGGTTTCGTCAATTGTAAATGCATGTATTGGACTTGATTTTTTAAAATCACTTTCAGCAGCGTAAAATCGGTAATAAAATAAAGAAAAAAAGAAGCATTTTTTTCTTGCGATAGTTTTTCAACTCAACCAAAACAGTGAATGTCATAGAAAGCGTCCAATTGTGAGTGTTCTCTCACAAATACAAAACATGATAAATAATTGAAAGAGATACTCAAAAGTAGAAAAATAAGGGTCTCAATTATGCTGGAAATAATTGAGATCTTCGATAATTCCAAAAACTTCTTCACTAAAGAACGATTATCAGACAAGGGCATTCAGTAAGAGTACATTTGTTAAAGTATGATGCATAACGATAAAATTTTCTTTAAACAAACTTGGTACGGTGTGAGAGCTTTTCTAGCTTACTCATATCCAACTGTAATCACTGTTTGTTTAATCTTTATCGAGGCTCGCCCTCATCCACACCCTCACCGGCGCCTTTGAACCTCCACTATCGTTGTGCCTAAATGTTGATATATCCTACAGAACATCAGCCTTTATCAATATGGGAACATATCCTGATCGGTATATATGTTGCTTTCTATGTCTAGATCGAAATAAAGAGGTTTTTAGTGAAAGTTCTTACTTTACTTTGTTTCCGTCAAGTCTATTTGTCGATATGGTGTTAATAGAGGTTCTTGGTCTCATATTTTACCTCATACAATTTCATATGAAGAAGAACAAGAAGTTTTAATAATTCCATATTGCGTTTCAAGAACGTAATTCGACCAGAACCGAATGAATATAAATTTCAAGTTGAACTTAAACTCAGAGAATGGGTAGATACAGCTCATTAGTCTCTAAAGAGTAATGCGAATCTTTTATGTACCAACCTATTAAGAAAAACATTTCAGCGGGGGGAAGTACACTCCGGTGGAGTGTCCGGAGTGGCTCGGAGTGGCTTGGAGTGGTTTGAGTACCGTGGGCTTAAGGAAACTTAAGGAATTTTACGCAGAAGAAATTCATGTGTGTGATGTTACGTGAGACACGGAAATTTTACTATGCAGTTTTGCAGAAAACGGACACGAATTACTGCAATTTTATTAAATTAAGAACTCTAATTTTGCAAGATAATCGATTATCCAGACGTTATCTGGAGATCTCTCAGTCTACTTTTTGAAGCGTGGACAAAAAATGTTAGTCTGCGTTTTTACTCAGCACTTTCTCACACGAACAATACTGTAGATTAACACAGTGCAGATATATTGCGATTGGTGTCTTCTGAACAAAAACTTTTAGATTCAAAGGGTAGGTTCTTTACACATTGTTCACATGGTTGGATAGAAGATGGTAAGCTGTCTTCACACCTTCCCATATCGCATCCAGAAATTGCTACTAAAGAAACAAAAGGTTTGTTTTTTTGCTGCTTGGTCAGAATACTGTCGATCAGGCACTGCCATTTTCAAAATTAACACATGTAATCCTTGGTGATAGTTTAATCCGAAACGTGACGATAAAAAATTTATCTACAAAGGATACCAACGTGTGACGGCAAACTATACTAGGCTGCTCCGTCGACTTGGCAATGGGAATGATTCAATACAATCAGATGAACTATCTAATGAAACATTCTGATGCGATTAGTTTGTTAGTTGGAGCTAGAAATATGTCGTGGTCTTCAAAAAAATCTGAAGAGACCGTTGCTAAAATGACAAATCTTTTCGAAACAATTGAACATCATTATCCTCAAATTCAACGGATTAATCTGATATCAGTACTGTCTATAATATATATGACAAACCGTTGTTAAACAAAATAAGGCATTATAATTCACGGTTGTCAACAACGTTTCAAAATAATTCGCCTATTAAGTACTCCGGGTTTGATTTCTCAAGGGTTTCATTGAAAAAGGACAAACTACACCCACAAGATTCAAGTGTCACTCATTTGACAAGACATCTACAAAAATTATTGCGTAAGTGGCTGTCCTCCTGTTTCTCTGCTTTTACCTAATGTCGCTGGAATTGACGTTTCCGTATCTTTGATGTGTCACAACGTTGAAGGTTTACGGAATAACATGGACACTTTTAAGACTTTCGTATGTGAGCATAATCCTAGTTTAACTGTGTTACAAGAGACTTTCTTGAGCAGTGCCATCAACGAAAGCGAGGTCAGTGTTAGCGGTTATTCATTGTTCAGAAGGGACCGTGAGAAACTTGACTTTTTTTAATCCTAAAGGGGGGCTCGCCGTATACATTTCTGATTCTCTACCTTTTTCATATGTATCTTACTGCCCCGATCTTGAATGTGTTCTTTTATCTTTAAGTATTCATTCCGCTAACATTTTTTGTGTTGTTGCTACCGTAAGCGTCTAGCAGACGATAATTACTACGACACACTTGCTGTTTTCCTGTTAAAGAATTCAGTTCGTAGTAATGCTGAACTCACCTTGACAGATGATTTCAACTCTGATCCTGTTCTCCATCCTAATTTGTATCGTCAGCTATGTGAACTCACCGCTCTTTTTCATCTATTTCCATCCGCAAATTCAACAACAACTCGTGGAAGAACTCTATTAGATAATGTTTATTACCTGTCTGTATGGTTACCCTCAGAGTTTCGTTTATTCGATGCCTTGGGTATTCTTATCACGGGAACTTGCTGTGTAAGTTTCCATCCATATCTGTTGAGGGATTAATCATTGAGCGCTCAGTGAAAGATTTCAGGAATTGTGATTGGGAAGGTCTTAAAGCATCGCTCTCTCGTTCATGTTTAAATTTCACAGACATTGACGACGTAAATCTACTATCTGTTTCAAAACACAAGGCACCCTGCCGTTTTTTGAATAACTTGCGATAGAAAAGAGATAGACACATGCGGTTTTCACCACTGTGTAGCTGACACTTGCAGAAAGGAAAAAAAGGGGTTTCTCCGAGCAGCCCACCAGTTGCAGGTGGTGTACCACATCAATCTTTCAAAGAGTACCTCCGTAAGGAACGAAAAAAAACGTGTTTTTTAATACGGACTGGGGATTCGAACAACCATACATTAGTCTACAAATACTCCCATGAACGAGAGTTTGATCTCTAACGGTCCGGACAGGGTGCGGACTTTTCTGAGACAGCCAAGATTCAGTTTTTTTAACTTTTGCAAGCCCACAAAAGACTTGAATTATAGGTTTTCGACCATGCTGAATCTCGTGGCAATGTTTCAAAAAAGATCGGAATCATTCTACACCCGATTCCAGTACACACACGTATAAAACGTGTCTCAAGCATTCCACACAATTTCGGGATTTTTACGACAGTGACATATTTTGAAGACTAGAACAGAACGCAAGAGCACACAGAACGTTATCCTTACTTCTTTTTTTCATTTCTTACTTCCTTCCTTCGTTTCTTCTCCTTTTTCTTTCTTGCTAGTTAAGAGTTAACTCGATGTCAGATTTTTGCTAACTGTTTTCTGACGAACAAAGTCGATCGTGAAACAAAAAAGGCGGCATGAACATGTCTCATACTTCCTTACTTACTCCAAAATCAAACAACATTTCGTACAAAATCGGTTTGATTTCACAGAAATCCCGATCGTGGACTTTGCTTGTTAATAAACCGGAAAACAGCTGCAGAGCATTCTTTTAGAACTCTTTTCTGTCCTAATCAAAAACTATATATTTTTAAAAAGAATGCCACGCGATAGCCCGTGAAAGTCTCTACAAAGTGGGATGGTCCGAAAATCTAGATAGGTAGCGTCAGTTATTAAAGATATGCAAAAGAAGCGTTTGAGTGTTATATATTTTCGATTTTTCAGTAAAAACTGAAGCCAGTCTGAATACAGTTTAGAATAGCCCAAAGATGTTTCTATCAGATGAGGTATGAGGAAACTTGATAACAGGGTTTCTGGAAAACATGGCCGCCAGAAAACCAAGTTTTTGGTTGTCAGTCAGAAAATTTTGCAAATAAAGCAGTTCTTATGATTATGACACATTGTATTGCTGTATCTATTGCGTTAGTATGAAAGAGGCAAACAAGTTCATCTTAAAAAAATTGAAAAGTCTTCGTAAAGAGAAAATTTACGACGTTCGTGAAATTAACGGGTGGCCCAGGTAAAACGGGCCACTTTTGTTCCTTGTTTTTGAAGCACTTCCCAGTGTCCAAAGAGTTGATTATAGGCTCATTCGATAGAGAGTGAAATTCTGAAACAAACCTGCTATTTATATCTCTGATAGTATTTTTCTCGTTTGAGCATATTTTAAATGCTGCTGACGTGTATAACTGCGACGTACTTCCGTAATCTCCTTTTTTCTTGATTTTTAGCCCATTGCCTGAGGTTCAACAGTTAATTTTTCTACGTACAAAGTTAGAGAATTTTATGCTCTATCGATCACAACTTCGTATAATATTTGCGCATATAATGTTGTATAAGGTCAGCTGAACTCATAATTAGTTCTTAACTGGCTGTTCAATTTTTTTAAATTAAATTAAGTCTGTTAATTAGTGGTTTCAATTAAGAAACTTTGTTTATATATCAAAAAATGTAGAATTTAATTCTGTGTAAGGTAATAAGACTTCAACTTGAATTTAGCACGTTCTACTACGTTTATTGTTTGAAAACCACAGTTTGTGAAAAATAGGTTCAAAAGTTAGGTTTTTTTAGGTTTATCAGTTTTTTGCACAGAGGAATTTGGCTAGAAGATTTAACTGCAAAATCTCGAAAAATATGTGAGCAGATGCAGAATTTTCGGATGAGTTTTCTGATATTTTCAAACTTCTTATAAAATCTGTTTTTGAATCAAGTCAAATATTTTTCTGTTTTCAGTCTGTCGCAGTTCGACAATTCAGCACCATTCAACATATTGAATGGTGCTCAAACGAAAAAAATACTGTCAGAGGTTTAAATAGCAGGTTTGTTTCAGAATTCCACTCTCTATTGAATGAGCCTAGAATCAACTCTTTGGACCACTGGAAAGTGCCTCAAAAACAAGGAACAAAAGTGCCCGGTTTTATCTAGGCCACCC